AAGGTGAACCGGTTGAACTTGAATCAAAATGCATGACAAACTTCCGGTTTTTTTATCAGGAAAAAATTAATCTCTTTCATGGATTACAAACACATATAACTTAACCACTTCTCTTGTTCACTTATCTTGTCTCATTTATCATCTATATGTTTGTTCATTTTTTATTATATTATTTGTTTTCTGCTCGCTACCATTTCTTATGTTCTTTGAGTCTTTCTCTTAAAGATTAACTGTTCTTTGAGGCCATTTTTTAATTATAGAGGATTTACTTGCTTATGGTGACGTAGCGTAGGGGTTTTAAACGAGATTTGTATTTCTAGAGATGATTTCATCCCAGTCTGGGTAATAAAGCTCTTTCATCCTCTGAGCATGCGTATGAAGGTTCTGTGCTTTTGTCTCGATAAGTTCGTCAAACGGACTTTTTGGAAGATCCCAGGCGGATGCAGCAATGAAGGCAAACAGTGCTGCATCGGCAAGGCAAGGTTTATCTCCAAACAGAAATTTCTTCTGGCCTAAAATTTCCGAGACTGCCAGCAAATCTCTCTGCGCGATTCCATACAGTTCTTGTTCCGAGTGTCGACCCATGCCATGTCCCCATAAATCCCGTTTGATTTTCTTCGTTATTTGGTGAGCTATTAGGTGTTTGAGGGGGAAGACGAGATGGCCAAACTTTTTCGTGAACAGCTTCCCTCGATATTCTTTTCCAAATGCAGACAGCCAACGGCAGTAAACAAGAGCCCTATGAAAAGATGATAAACATTCTGTGAGAAAACTTAAGGCTGTGAACCTCGTTTTTCCCCTTAAGAGGACATTAGCATCACTTTTGTAAATGGTAAATGAGGCAGTATAGCGAAACCCTTCGATACTATTTAGATTATGTTCTGAATAAACAAATTTCACGGTGTCAGTCCAAGTGAAAATGAAAGCAACAGATGACTCTTCGCGAAAGGAACTTCTTAGATCGTCAATATATGTATATGCTCGAAATCTCTTACTATAACCTTGTAACCTATTTGATAGGCACAGCTAAGAGATCCTTGTTATCTATTGGCATGATCTATTGTTATTCTGCTTTAGGATACAGATTTAAAGAATCAGGCAAATTGCCTTAAAAAGCTACGTTTACCAATATGTGTTTTCTTCCAGCATGATTCGAACACTGTGAGCGATGGCTTTTTCTGTCTCGTTCAAATGAGAATCAATGTCCACTTTGAATTCCCTTTTCAGAAAATGGATACAGAAATTTGAATCAGCGATTTCTTGCTCATTAAATTCGATCCACGGCATTTTTCCCTTCTTGGAAAACTTTAAGCGATGGTCGTTCCGGTACGGGATTTTTGTCATACGAAGGAATGTTTCCAACTTCAGACAAGGCGGAGAACCACTAACTGACAACTCTGTCGGAGCAAACTGGTGTAGGATAAGTGTTTCTCGCTTGGCAGCTATCTTTTTCTTCTTAAAAATCTGCATCTTAGTTAGGTTACAAGTGGTGCGCTGCTTAATCCAACTGGTTTAGGTTTTCCAGTGCGAGGCCTTATTACATGCATTTAAGAGAGGATGGCTATAAGTTGTCTTCCCTTAATAAATACAATTAATCATAGATTTGGTATCTTAACAACTTAGACGTTATTGCACGTGATATATTTAACTAAAATACGCCATTACTAAGACATGAAACTGATCCGCATTCTTCTCTGCCGGAAGCCAATATTGTGCAAGATTGACGCAACTTTGAGGACGGTTTATCTCTTCAATATCCATCTAATTGTTATTGATTTACTCACTTTACTGCTTTCCTCGTTCTTTCTAGGGAAGGAGAAGCCTTCAACGTAGCCATTTAGAGCTTGCCGGCGATCATGGAAACTCTTTTAGCCAAATTTTCGCAGGGTCATCATAAGCGAACGGTATACTTGATGTTCAGCGCCATATATATGTTCCGCTCGTTTCAATATTGGTTTTCGAAGACAAATTTTAATGTTTTGATGCCAGCAATGAATAAGCATAATTTTTATAATGTTGCTAGTTTCGGCTTAAATGAAATTCCTTTTACTGAGGTAACTTCGCGTCGACCACAATAAAATAACCCTCTAACTGAATTAGTTTCGCTTCGTCTTTACAAAGCCACTTTTCGCTTAACTCACGTAACATGTGGCGATGAAATATTCTTAAGGGGGTTAGAGAAGCCCCTTAGGGAAAGACTTCCCGTTCTCAGTGATAAAAAGTATGTTTCGCCGTAATAAATGACCGTCTGACTTTTAAGCACTTTATTTCTTCGTGAATTGCGTACCTTGAGCTCTTTTAGGACGGTACCATTTTTAGGTTGGGAGCATATAAGAATCACTTTGCTTTTTCCCGATCATACATCTTTTTCAGAATACCAGAGCTTTCCGAAACTGAATAAGTTGTCAGGGTCAAGAAATTGAATTAAAAATTGACCCCCAAGTAAATCTCAGGCTCGGATTTGGCTAAAAATTACCAAAGAAAAATCAACGTAATGCTTTTCTTTTGCAAATTAGCATAGTGTACTATAATATATCAAGATATTTTAATCTCTTGGAACTAAATAAGGATAGAGGTTGATTTCTTCATAAACATGGGTAAATCCCGCAAGATCAGGTTTCCTTGTCTCGTATTCAATACAACATTTTTCTTTTGTTTCAATAACGAACTAATTAAGGATACAGTTTGATTAATCTATAAACACGGAAAAAAACCCGCACGACTAGATTCCTTTTCTCGAAATTCACACATTTTCGAATTTCCGAGAGCATTGCTTTAAAAGCTTTATGCTCTTCTCAAAGAAATGGGCAGCTTGTGCGGAATCAGCTTTTACCATAAAGAGCAAGAATTGTGAAGTTTTTGAAGTTTGCTTAAATCAGTGTATAGCGTGATCACATCCGAGTCAAATAAAACAAAAGTACGTAGATGTATAAGGAGATGTATAAGGTATTCGTTTAATAAGATGAGAAAAGAAAACAAAAGAAATGGATAGCGGGAACAGATTCTAAACAATTCTTTGTACTCACGACGATAATTCTAACCTCGCTGATATCAAATCTAATCCCGAATTTTCGAGACACACGACGATGAAGTTGAAAAAAGGAGGCAAGTTTCTATCGAAACTGTGGTAGTGTTGTCGCTGGTGGGTATTACAAGTTTTTTTTTAGTCTATTATGAAATTGCCCATTGTGAAGAGTTTTGAGCGTGAACATTACGTCAGCTCTTTCGCTCTGACGAAGGACTAACGCTCAAAACGTCAGCTTAAGAACTCCTTGCGGTTGCCAATTTACATCATCATCTCAGACAAAAATAAACCAACGTATCTAGCAACGAAGTTTATCATTATCACTATTACGGAAGTTTAAAGTATTTCGGGTTGATGCAGTGATGGCCAAGATAACCGCGCTATGAGGTTATCGCGCCCGCAAGGTCAGGCGAATAAGAGATACCATGCAGCTTTTGTGCCAAAGTATTTAACCCAATAATACTATATTACAATGCTAACATGAACAATTGCGGGTTCTAATTTTTTGTGGATTCTGTGAGTTGACCTTCATATACAAAAAAGTGAACTTACGTCATCACAAGTTTTTTGTCGTTGTTTTGTTTGTTTGTTTTGTTTTTATTACGAGTAGTGCATGCATTATTCCCAAACTATTCCTTATGATAAAGAATAGTTTGGGAAACAAAATATGGTCGATTTACAACGCTAAATATTCCGAAATGTGAACATTTTACTCTCCTTGTGTGTCCGGTGCGGTTTCTGGTGATTTCTGCCATGAGACGGCTAGGAAATGTACAAAGTTTTAAAACATACGTGTTTAGCTTTTGAGCTTTTTGCCATGAATGCGACAGATGGGCGGGTTACCCCACCTTGAGACGTTTACATGGCAAATTGTCACCCTGGCTGACAGGGTTACCCCACTTGGCAGACCGAGAAACCCGCGTTGGCGGGTTACCCTCACCCATCATGTAAACATGACCAAGATAAAATGAGAGATTATATGGAAAGGCGGGTTACCTCACCTAAGCGGGTTACCTCACCTACCTGGGGTTCCCCATCTCCATGTAAACGGGCCTAAGATGAGCAAGTTATGGGATTGGAACATGATATCATGAATTATCAAAAGCGAGCGGTTTACCAGCCACTTAATATAGGCTCGACTCAAAGTATCACGTATTGTAAATCGTTATTATTTTTAGCATCATTTTGTAATTTCTGCCTTTTAAATAGTTTATTCTTAAAATCCTGTGATCGTAAGTACTGTGCTGTAAATAGTTTATCATTAGTGGTTCTTAGTGCTCCATATTCTTGATAACATAGATAACAGTAGATTTAGAATATTATGTCACCATTTTTACCCTAGTAATCATAAAAATTACATTTTCCTCGATTGTAATTGGTTTAAAAAACTCGTATTTTCCCCTAATTCACGTGCCAAGTTGTTATCGAACAATTCAATATGTCACATTTAAAGCTGTAGTTTACATCAACCAATCATGCGATCACAAACATGATTTCAATTACCATAGAAACATTGTATAGAATCTCATAATTTGGCTATTCTCCTTTTATCGGAAACAGTAAATTTTATGATTAATTGGTAACAGGACTTCGTGTCGTTCAATTCGGTCTGTAATCATACGAATCCGCTGCGCGGTCGTCCGATTTTGTTACCGCTCGCATGATTACCGACCAACCTGGACTCCACTCAGTTCTATTACCATTGCTTATCATAATTAGAATTAACAATGGAGTGTAATATAGGGAATCATCTTTGTTTCGACTACATTTGTAGCGCCCTCTTCTGACTTTGTTATAACCTTACTGTATTGCAAAACGGCTCTCAATCGGTACAAAGATTTAGTATTAATCGTGAGCAAATCCACGCATGTTCTTTGCCAGTACTCTTATACAAAGTCATTCAGAATTTTTAGTTATGAATTAAAATAATAAACAGTATAAGGAATAAAAAAAAAATCTCTACGATGCCAAGAATTCAGTCAGATTTAAGCTTCCTAGTGATTTCATCCCAGTCGGGATAGTAGAGATCTTTCATTCGCTGAGCATGCCGCTCAAGATTTGTCGCTTTAGTCTTGGTGAGCTGGGCAAAAGGACTTTGAGGACAATTCCACGAGGCACATGCAACAAAGGCGAAAAGGACAGCATCAGCGAGACAGGGTTTATCTCCAAAGAGGAATTTCTTCTCCCCCAAAACTGCGGACGCTGCAAGAAGATCCCTCTCAGCTATTTCATAGATCTCCTGTTCGGAGTGTCGACCAATGCCCTGAGACCACACATCTCTTCTACATCGCTTCTGTATAACGTAGAATATCAGATATCTGAGTGGCCAGGAAAAATGCCCAAACAGCTGCATTCGCGTATACATGGCATAGTCCGGTGAAAAAAAGCGGTAATAAAAAAGGGCCCTGTAAAGGACAAAGGAGTATACGTAAGGGTTTTACCTCAAGTAGTTTAAATATGAAGTAATTTGCAGCAATGGTCTGTAGACACTCTGCTTTACGTGGTTGAACGAGTAATTTTCTATACGAGATTAGCCCGATAAACGCCGTTGTATCCTGGATTCGATGCTAGCCTATCAGGTGCCGGTTATTCCTCGGCCTGCCACCCTCCCTCCAACCCCCACTTCCAGGCCATGCAGAGCACCTTCTTCATTGCTGCCTGCCAACTATGACAAACTGATAACATCTCCCATCAAAGTATTACAAAAACAATTCGACTTCAGTGACACCAACGATGTAGCATTGACAAAAATAGCAACAAAAAATCAAAAACAACGACATTCGAGAGCATCGCGAAACACTAGTAACGCTAACATGGAACATCAGAAACACCATGGACAACAGTTCCGATTTCCGCCGCTCTCTCGTGTCCGGCCTTCGCTCCTCCCCGAGAAGATAAAGGGTTTGGGGAGCGCGGGCTCATATCGCAAAACAGCGGCTGGTAATTGAGCAACATCAGTAATAGCGCTTTGCAACCATTCAAGACAAAAAAGCTCTGCAGCTTTATTTTCCTCAAACACTTAGTGCGGTGTACACAAAGGTTTGAGACTCCAACATAGGTCGTCGTTTAGAGACTGGACTGAAAGTATTCTAATCTAGGTAACAGCGCAGCAAAAAAAAATATACACGGAAAATTTGGAGAAAATTTGTCTCTTTTGCCAAATTTTCCTATTCACAGGCAGTCTACTGCCTGAACACGCAAGAAATCTAATTGGTTTCCAGTCTCATTTGTTTGAGGCCAGTTTCACCCTGGTTTGCTTATCGGTTTGTTAGTTCTCCATAGCAGATGCAAGGTGCGATATAAAGAGGTAACTGAACCGTCGAACATGGTGTATTACTTGGTCAATCTTTAACGTTTATGCAAAACGATTATACATAGCAGTTTGTTTGTGTTTCTTCAATTAATTTTCAATAAACTACTAGACTGGAAAACGAGACTATAAGAAACGCCACCAAGCACAACAGCTACTGGGCATGTAGCAATTACATCATCAGGCAACTGCACAGCAAGCTCCAATATCGGCTCTGAGAAATGATTGTGTAGCGTGACCCTAACTGTCCTCTGTAGTTGTGATTACGTAATCATTCGAATCCGCTCGAAGCTTACAAGTGCCTCTCACCTTAGGCAAACGAGAAATTTTAAGGAAAGGGAATAAAAACGATCGAAGCAACACTTACCAATACGTGTTCTCCTCTAACGTGGTTTGAATACTGTGAGCAAGTCCTTTTTCTGCGTCGCTCAAATGAGAGCAGTCAACGTCAACTTTGAACTCGTTCCTTAAAAACCGAATGCAGAAGTTGGAATCGGCGATTTCTTCCTCGTTAAACTCAATCCACGGAATTTTACCCTTTTTAGAGAATTTCAAGCCATATCTGCTCTCGTATGGAATCTTTGCCATGCGAAGGAACGTTTCTAGTTTTAAACATGGCGGAGAGCCACTCAAAGATAAGGGCGAGGGAAGAAACTGATGCAAGACAACTGTGCCAGGTTTTACAGGCCGTTTGTTCTGTTTTCTGCGCCGTGCTCTCGTTAGGAAATAAACGATGAAGAATGCGGCTGTAGTGATTCCAACAAGTAGTTCTGTCTTCATCGCGTTTTCCTCAAGGCACAACTAATAACAACTAAGATGCGCGCGAGAATAAATGCAAATGAGCCTCTCACATGGAATTAAATAATGAAATTAGTAACGCTTTTGGAAAACTTTCCTTTACTTCAGTCAGTTTAGTATTCTGTTTCTGTTTCTGTTTGTCTTTTCTTTATCCTTTTTACACAGATTTATGACTTCTGTTCGACAAGAAATTGAGCTGTTAGTGTTTTGATTAATTTCTTTTTTTTAGTGAAATCCGATTGGCAACAAAGAAGGTCAGTTCCAGTGCTCAAAAGGCTAATCATAATGTAAAATACTTAAATTAATTCTTCCTTCCCATTTGCACTGATCATAATATGAAATGCAACAGATGCAAAAACAAACAATCAAACATGCGAAAAATCGGGAATTTGTATGAAAATGAAATGATTTTTTTCTTCAGTAACTTTGCCTGTGACGATGAGATGGAAAACCGTTTCGCAATGCAAAGAGGCTTCTGGATTGTTGGTGAAACTTGTTTCTACTTTCTTCGAGAGCTAGCTGGAAATCTGAAACACATTGCAAAAGAATCGAGATGTTCACGATTTCAGCACTGATAAGCTTAAAGTAAATGTCACGCTACAGTGGACTGACATCTGAATTGATGCCGAACTAATGATTATGTGAATTGACCTTTGATGCCACGCTTACCTCGATGCGACCATGACTTAGCATATTTACAATCTCGCTTGTGTGACAAACACGCAACGGAGTGCTTTCAACCAATTCCCGCCTACATCTTGCACATACTGAAAAGATGCAGGTGTCACAGTACTTCGGTATCGCTGCAGTCGTCGTCCTCTTCGTTTATATCATCGCCAAGATATTTCAAGGAAAAGAAAAGAAGCGATCTGCAAGGCCTGGAACGGTAGTTCTACACCAGTTTCCTCCTTCCGAGCTCTGTGTTTCGGGTTCTCCGCCGTGTTTGAAGTTGGAAACTTTCCTCCGCATGACAAAGATCCCGTACGAAAATGAATACAGTTTTAAATTCTCCAAAAAAGGCAAAATGCCGTGGATTGAGTTCAACGGGCGTGACACAGCAGACTCTAATTTTTGTATTCGGTTCCTGACGAAAGAGTTCAAAATTGACATCGATTCTCACTTGAATTCCGATCAAAAAGCTATCGCGCACTCTGTTCGAACTATGTTGGAGGAAAATACCTACTGGTGAGTGAATATTTAGCTATCATTATGTATAACTATTTTATTTTGTGCATAATAACAAGTGTATTCTTAAAAGTATACTCGTAATGATACGCTTCGTCGGTTCGCAGATGCCACTTTATAGCTGTCGCGTCAGGATCAAGTTTAATCGTTTCATTATTCAGTTCAAGGTCTTTATTAATAAATTGTGTGACTTTTTCGAAAACTAACCTGGTCATTCTCAATAACAATGTTGCTCAAGGTTTTTTCTCCAGCCTGAGGTCGCACAAGTACGGCTTTAGCTATTGTGTGACTATGTACGGCTGAGGGACAAACAAACGATCTTTCTTCGAACATTTTCTGCTTTATTTACAGGGCCCTTGTGTACTACCGGGTCTTTTCTCCCAGCTTTGCTGAGAAATTTCGCGAGATACTGTTTGGTCATCTCATCATGCCGATCAAGTATCTTTTATACTATATGTTCCAGCGAAGGTACAAGAAGGATTTATGGTCGCACGGAATGGGTCGACACTCGGAGCAGGAGCTCTATGGAATAGCGGAAAGGGATCTTCTTGCTGTGTCAGAAATTTTGGGGCAGAAGAAGTTCCTGTTTGGTGAAAAGCCTTGCCTTGCTGACGCTGCAGTATTCGCTTTTGTCTGTGGAGCAACTTGGGAGTGTCCACAAAGTCCTTTTGCCGAGCTCACGGCCAAGACGAAAGCTCAGAATCTTCAGAGACATGCTCAGCGAATGAAGGAGCTGTATTTTCCAGACTGGGATGATATCATTTCAAAGAAACCTAAGTCTGCCTGAAGCTAGAAGTTTCCGTAATCTCACGACCTTCTTAGTTACGTTTTATGATACATTCCCATGCCTTCTTCGCTTTGTTTTTCTGTTTTCAATACCGCACAGAAACAGGACTGAGAGTAATCTTGAATACTAACTTTGCTTTTATTTCACATTTCTAAGTTCCAATCCCATGATTACCTAAGAGTTTCGAAAGAGTCTTTGTGAGCAGCAGTTTCAATCAACGCCGGTTTCTGGAGGTTTAAACCCACTTGCAAATTGTGACGATAAGTTTTTTTCGAACTTAGTGGTCTTTTGCGGGGAACGCAACAATAACGGGGAAAAGAGCTCGGTAGAGACCATTTGGTAGCGAGAACGGAAACTCGTCACGGTTTCCTGACCTGCTTCAAGTGAGCTTGCTACGAACGTCAAGGATCAGACAGCGTTTGGTTCCACAGTAATTTTATTTTAGTTCATGCGGACAGTTGACATCACCTTTAGCAAACTCAATTATGTAATCGAAAAAGCTTACTTGCTTATGTATCAGTGGGTGCGAGGTTCTATTATCACACAAACTACAATATTTGAATACGGTTACAATAGAGTGGAAAATGTGTCTTTGTAGTTAAGCGATTTTATTAAAATATTCCATCTGTTCGGAAAGAATTTCAAAAGTAAGATAGCGGATAAAATAGACTCTACGCCATTTAAAAAGAACAAACTTACGTCAAAACTCACAGCTCTGAAGTTAAAAACACCCATCCTAGTTGCGGATGAGCAGCTTAGGAAATATAAGTGAGCAGTAAAAATAATTTCTGTTTATTTATGCGATGTTGGTGTTAAATTCGGAAAATTAATCCTGCATGAAAGGAAAGCGAACTTACGTGCACAAACTCAGCTATCAACTTCCATAAGAACCAATTTTCAGAAAGATCATTAGCACTTATATTTATATTTCCGGAAAGAGCATTAACACTTATATTGAAATGCAATTTCAACAGTAATGGTCATTAAAGCACCGATATACAGGTGTTTAATGACAGGCATGTAACAAGCGAAATGTAATAATTGGAAATTCAAAAGCTACTATGGCTTTTTCTATACTTTTTGAAATGCTAGAGCAAAGATTTCGAATAAATCGGAAATGAAAAGTTTATGTGTAAACCCCGGTTTTTGGAGGTCTAAACTCGCTCGCAAGTATTTGATGTTGAGATATCATTTAACAAACGGCGCGAAAGTTTTGTATAAAATTATATTTGGCACGCATCAAGAAACTGTAAACTTCTCAGCTTATAACCTCTTGCGCATATTTATGATTCTGTTAATTTCCTTCCCAGTCCCCGGCCGGTCAATTGGTTAGTGCACAAACTCTTTTCTAAGCAAGTCCTCCATTTGTTACAATTTTGGCATTGTCAAGAGCTGTTCATTTTGATCCCTCTGTATTTTATACCACAGTGCTTTTTTTACTGCAATACTCTACAACTATACAAAAGGGACTGCCTTCTGTTTGAATAAAAGATGTTTCTGTAGTTTTTTCTCTATATTTCGTATACCTCGCACGCCTCGCACCAAGAGTCTCATGCCTGGTATGCGTATTGGTAACACTCATCTGATAAGATGCTGTGGCGAGCAACTCAAGAATGAAAGCATAGTGAAACCACCGCTATTAGTGAAAGAGGGCCGAATTCGGCGAAGTTGGCTGACTAAAATGGTAATTTCGCAGTACTTGGAGTATGCTTTGTTTAAATAATGAAACAGAATTTCCTTGCCGATGGGTTAAACGAACTTTTTTGTCATACTTTGGGAAAATTGAACTGGAAGAAGTTGTAGACGCCATTGATAAATTGTGTGTGACTTTTTCCACCGCCATGAATTGTTCCTAACCTCTTTCCTACTCCTTCCAGACTAGCGGGGGAAGGGGAGGGAGGGGGTTATTACGACCCAGGGTGTTTGGCTTGTCAGGTAAATCTCAAACTCTTGAACAGGGTTTCTCTTTAACCCTTTGACCGCTAAGGGAGACTTGCATTTAACTTCTCCTACAACATTACACCTGAATCAAACATTCAGGTTACAAAAATGCAATCTTGATTGTTTAACAAATTCTCCTTGTCAGTACCCCAGATAATGGTCACACTTAAGCATGATCACTTAGGTTGTAGACTTTTTACTTTCAAAACCTGCAGCTGTAACTAACAGTCTATAATTTGGCACGTTATCGAACACGCGCAAATTTAAAAGAGAACTTGCAGCTCGCGCATGAAAAGAAAGAGGCATGAACCCAAACATGCACACAGTGAGTGCATTACAACAAGGCCGTGGCCAGACTTCAGAACAAGACGAGGCAAGTTTCGAGCGAATGGAATCTTTGCCATGCGAAGGAACGTTTCTACTTTTAAACATGGCGGAGAGCCACTCAAAGATAAGGGTGAGGAAAGAAACTGACGTGAAACAACTGTGCCAGGCTGTGCCAAGATGCGTGTGAGAATAAATGCAAATGAGCCTCTCACATGGAATTAAATAATGAAATTAGTAACGCTTTTGGAAAACTTTCCTTTACTTCAGTTAGTTTAGTATTCTGTTTTTGTTTCTGTTTGTCTCTTCTTTATCCTTTATATACAGATGTATGAATTCTGTTCAACAAGAAAATTGAGCTGCTAGTGTTTTAATTAATTTCTTTTTTTTTTGTAAAATCTGATTTGCAACAAAGAAGGTCAAAGAAGTGTGAAGGAATTTATTGGCGAGCCATCACTGCCAGTTCCAGTGCTCAAAAGGCTTATCAAAATGTAAAATACTTACATTAATTTTTTTTTACCATTTGCACTGATAATATTATGAAATGCAACAGATGCAAAAACAAACAATCAAACATGCGAAAATTGGGGAATTTGTCTGAAAATTAAATTTTCTTTCTTCAGTTACTTTGCCTGTAACAATGTGAGGGAATACCGTTTTGCAATGCAAAGAGGCTTCTGGATTGTAAGTGAAACTTGTTTCTACTTTTTTCGAGAGCTAACTGGAAATCTGAAACACATTGCAAAAGAATCGAGATGTTCACGATTTCAGTACTGTTAAGCTTAAAGTAAATGTCACGCTACAGTGGACTGATATCTGAACTGATGCCGCACTAATGATTATGCGAATTGACCTTTGGTGCCACGCTTACCTCGATGCGACCATCACTTAACATATATACAATCTCGCTTGCGTGACAAACACGCAACGGAGTGCTTTCAACCAATTCCCGCCTACATCTTGCACATACTGAAAAGATGCAGGTGTCACAGTACTTCGGTATCGCTGCAGTCGTCGTCCTCTTCGTTTATATCATCGCCAAGATATTTCAAGGAAAAGAAAAGAGGCGATCTGCAAGGCCTGGAACGGTAGTTCTACACCAGTTTCCTCCTTCCGAGCTCTGTGTTTCGGGGGGCTCTCCGCCATGTTTGAAGTTGGAAACTTTCCTCCGCATGACAAAGATCCCGTACGAAAATGAATACAGTTTTAAATTCTCCAAAAAAGGCAAAATGCCGTGGATTGAGTTCAACGGGCGCGACACAGCAGACTCTAATTTTTGTATTCGGTTCCTGACGAAAGAGTTCAAAATTGACATCGATTCTCACTTGAATTCCGATCAAAAAGCTATCGCGCACTCTGTTCGAACTATGTTGGAGGAAAATACCTACTGGTGAGTGAATATTTAGCTATCATTATGTATAGCTATTTTATTTTGTGCGTAATAACAAGTGTATTCTAAAAAGTATTCACGTAATGATACGCTTCGTCGGTTCACAGATGCCACTTTATTGCTGTCGCGTCAGATCAAGTTTAATCTTTTCATCATTCAGTTCAAGGTCTTTATTGATAAACTGTGTGTGACTTTTTCGAGAACTAACCTGGTTATTCTCAATAACAATATTGCTCGAGGTTTTTTCTCCAGCCCGCACAAGTACGGCTTTAGCTATTGTGTGACTATGTACAGCTAAGGGACAAACAAACGATCTTTCTTCGAACATTTTCTGCTTTATTTACAGGGCCCTTGTGCACTATCGATTCTTTACTCCCAGCTATGCTGAGAAAGATCGCGAGATATTGTTTGGTCATCTTATCATGCCGATCAAGTATCTTTTATACTATATGATCCAGCGAAGGGTCAAGAGGGATTTATGGTCGCACGGAATGGGTCGACACTCGGAGCAGGAGCTCTATGGAATAGCAGAAAGGGATCTTCTTGCTGTGTCAGAAATTTTGGGGCAGAAGAAGTTCCTGTTTGGTGAAAAACCTTGCCTTGCTGACGCTGCAGTATTCGCTTTTGTCTGTGGAGCAACCTGGGATTGTCCACAAAGTCCTTTTGCCGAGCTCACGGCCAAGGCTAAAGCTCAGAATCTTCAGAGACACGCTCAGCGAATGAAGGAGCTGTATTTTCCAGACTGGGATGATATCATTTCAAAGAAACCTAAGTCTGCCTGAAGCTAGAAGTTTCCGTAATCTCACGACCTTCTTAGTTACGTTTTATGATACATTCCCGTGCCTTCTTCGCTTTGTTTTTCTGTTTTCGATACCGTAAAGAAACAATATTGAGAGTAATCTTGAATACTAACCTACTACGGCATTCGTCTCTTTTTGCTTTCATTCTTACATTTCTAAGTTCCAATCCATTACCTAAAAGTTTCGAAAGAGTCTCTGTGAGCAGCAGTTTCAATTAATGCCGGTTTCTGGAGGTTTAAACCCGCTTGCAAGTTGTGACGATAGGTTTTTTCGAACTTACTGGACTGTTGCGGGGAACGCAACAATAAGAGCTCAGTAGAGACCACTTGGTAGCGAGAACGGAAACTCGTCACGATTTCCTGCTACACGGCGACCTGCCTCAAGTGAGCTTGCTACGAACGTCAAGGATCAGACAGCGTTTGGTTCCACAGTAATTTTATTTTAGTTCATACCGACAGTTGACATCACCTTTAGCAAACTCAATTATGTAATCGAAAAAGCTTACTTGCTTATGTATCAGCGGGTGCGAGGTTCTATTATCACACAAACTGCAATATTTGAATACGGTTACATTAGAGTGGAAAATGTATCTTTGTTGTTTAGCGATTTTATTTAAATATTCCATCTGTTCAGAAAGAATTTCAAAAGTAAGATAGCGGATACAATAGACTCTACGCCATTTAAAGAGAACAAACTTACGTCAAAACTCACAGCTCTGAAGTTAAAAACACCCATCCTAGTTGCGGATGAGCTGCTTAGGAAACAAAAGTTAACAGTAATAATAATTTCTGCTCATCAATGCGATGTTGGTGTTGAGTTCGGAAAATAATTCTGCATGAAAGGAATGCGAACTTACGTCCACAAACTCCGCTACCAACTTCCATAAGAACCAATTTTCAGAAAGATCATTAGCACTTATATTTATATTTTAGTGACATGCTCAGGTACTGTCTTAGTTGCGTGATGATAGCGTGAAGTGTAACGAATTCGCTCCTTTCGTTACTTCATGTTCTTTCATTGTATTAAAAAGTCCATATCTAGTGTCTCCACTGAAGAAGTCTCATTCTTGAGTGTCTTCATCTTATACTATATTTTTTCGTAGGGTACTATTAATTTTTTAGTCGAAGTTCAAGGCCTTTTGTCTCTTAGTCGTTGGGCACTAGGCGGACAGTTAACAGATAGAAGGAAATCTTCGTAAGGAAAGCTTTGTCTTGCTCCAAACACGTAGATACGTGGTTCAGTTGCTAGTCGCACCCAGCTAGTATCTGGAAGGCACGGGTTCGAGCGTCCTTTATCCCGTAATTTTATCACGGATTCTTTTCCGCGATTTTTTTGACCGAAGTTCACCAACGAGGATCATTCATTATTGGCTTTTTTTTTGTGTGTGTGTGTGTGTACTAAATCCGAAGGTCAAAATTTGATTCATTCCCAGCATTTTGATACGTAAATTAATATAAGTATGTCAGCCGCCGTAATAGCAGAAAATTTGAAGTCTAAATGCAATGTTACATATACTAACGTCAAATTTAGTGCTGTGTATACTTGTTTCAGTGCACCTGAAGACCTGTGTAGTAGATGCTTAAGCGCCATGGCCTCTGTCCTTGAACGTCCCGTTGATTATGCAACCATAATCACACCAGAGGGTCGTGCTACTGTCCAGTGAATATTTTATCCTAAGTGTAACGCTACTTGTCACGAAAGGTTAATTTTATAACAATAAGTTAGAGATTGTTTATAAATATTTTTTCGCCTTGGAGAAATTTGCTATTGCTCCACACGTCACTTCCATCGCCTTCCCTATGGAGTTGCGTAGAGACGTAATTATTTTTAAAAACATCTTGGGATTTCTTTGAGGACAAGAATATCCGGAGCTTTGCAAGTAGAAGGAGCGCTGGAAAGTGACCAAGACATCACTTTGAGTGCGTTGCATCAGAGCTTTTGTTTGAAGCGTTTGTGGTGTGCCTTTGTGGCATGCCTGTAGGGTTGATAACCCTACACTCAGTTCAGGAAGACATCGTAATGGCAAAGCAAACAGAGCAGATTCACGACGGTTCTGTTTCATGCGAACGAAGCAACAGTTATTTAGCAATAATTTACCTCAGTCTTCGTGAATATTGTGGAATAATTACTATATTCATTATGCCTGAGGCGAATAATTGTTTAAGCATCGTTTCTGGGGTGCTTTCAAATTCTGTTGTTGAACCATGAAATAATGACTTTTGTTCAGGACCGTAAAAAGGAACATAAAATAGTTAAGAAAATGCACAAGGAAGCCCCGTGTTCTAACACTAAATTTTCAGGACCAATTTGCAAGGAAATGTGTTGCAGCTCGAGGGGAGAATCAACGATGAGTTGTTGGAAGTTCAGTGGTTAACGTGGTACACTTACGCAAAGTTTTCCTGTCCCACGTATCTGGCGTCAAAGAATTTTCTTGTGAGAATTTGAATATGCGCCAGAGAGCACTTATTATTCTATAGTGTGCAAAGTTCATCTAGATTTTTTCAAAAAATATATTTTACCTGATACAGATGTTAGTTGAAGGTCAAAACGTGTCGTTTTTCAACACCTCTCTTTTTTTTCACTTGATTAAAACGATTTCAGCAATCTTTCATGGCAATATTTTAGTGGACTCTCTTGCGGCGTGGATTTGCATTCCTAATATAAGTCACACTCATTCAAGGCTATCACTATGATAGGAGGTAAGCTTCTCTCGCATTTTTTTAGTAACCTTTTGATGAAACGACAAATTTCAACGGAAATGGGAACTGTACAAGGTCCGTACGTGCAAGGTCCGTGCGTCATTTCCCTGTACGAAATATCTTCCCATCCGGGCTCCTCCACCAAGTCAATAAGTATGTTTTCTTTCTACTTCGTCAACAGACTAACGCATTGTCACGTATCAACATCAACGTAAAGATTACATAACTGCAAGGCCGGCTCTCGTCATTTTTACTGCCTTACTACCTTTCTTAGTCTTTCAAGGTAAGTACTTATGGAAATACCCGTAGAAGGTAAACAATTATTCAGTTTGAAAGTTCCTGATTGTTAAGTAAAAGCTTTATCGATGGAATCTTCTGGAATAAACCGGTCAGTTTGACACGAATCGTCGAACGAATCTCTTTCGCCTGAGGAAAATTCAATGACTACAATGATAAGTACAATCTGTTTCCTTTTATATAATCTCATGGGGCTTTCTCGTACTCAGTGCTTGCGAATTAGGTATGGGAATATTTCTAAGATTTAAATTTCAAGAGCTAGTTACTTGAATTCACTCCTTCTCCCACTGAGGGTGTCCTTAACAGTATGTGTCTATGCAAAGTTGAAACCTTAGCTTCGTAACAAGTGATACAGGGGATCAAAAGTGGGGATGAAAAATCACACAATGTCAGATTTAGTCTCCTTCGCAGCCGCTGTTCGGTCTCGTCACGCATAACATGACAGCGCATTGATAAATTATACGGGGCGGAAAGAGTAACTTAGGCCTAGTTCAAACGTCGATCTTTACATGTACCGAACCTAATTGCAATTTGGGTCGACTCGAATAATTAAGAGCGGCAGTTGATTCAAACGTCGATCCGAATTTAGTCGATCCTAATTGCAAAACTGAACTTAACTCCATTGCAGTCAGCGGTTAATGCCTACCAATGGGTATACAGGTATATTTTGTGGATTTAAAACAAGAGGAGCGTGAGCCTTCCTCCTTTCCCGCCATATTGTTTGAATGGTTCGAAGGCTTTCGCGCATGGCACGTAAGCGAACTTTCTTGAATTGTGGGTAAAACATAATTATTTTAACGTATGTATAATGTATGCATTAAGTTCGGTACATGTAAAGTACGACGTATGAATCAATGTCGATCTTTTACCGTTCTATCCGACTAGCCGAGTCGGATAGAACGGCACTGTCGATCCGAATACAAATCTGCCGATCCTAATTGATTCAAACGTCAATCATTACATGTACTTAATAGAAACGTTAGGTTCGGTACATGTAAAGATCGACGTTTGAACTAGGCCTTAGGAGACAAAAGCGCAACAGTATTACTTCGTTGGAAAGCAAACTGGTAGAGGTGTACTGATCTCTCAAATCATCTGTTTCATCTTTGAACCATTGTCATCGAAGGTAGGAGGTCCTGTTGTCCCGTTGGTTTGCGGTTTCCTGGCTTGGCGCGAGTTGTTTACAAACATTTATGAACTAAAATCTCGCATTTGATGTTGGGAGGAATACATCCACTTTAAATGAGTAGGGTATTTATCGACCTCTGACATTTCCCAAAAGGAAAACTCGCTCAAATAATATTTTTGTCATAAGTTGCATTTATCAAGCTTTCTTTGGATGTATACTTCGTTAGGACTTTAGAGCAACTAGCGCGCGTACGAATTTTTTCCCGAAGGATACCCCTGAAGGTGGGAAATATAATACCGTGTTTCTGTAATATGAACAAAAAAGTGGCTCACGAGAAGAAGCTGAGTGTATCACTGATGTTCTTAACTTCTGCGATCAAATATTGTAAAGAACCTCGGACGGCAGCATGGAATCTATTTGTGTTTTGTGTTAGCAATTTACACTTAATGTATGGTCCCAAGGGAAACAGTTACTTTTGTTTTCTCGTCAGTCCTGAGCTTTGAGTCCATGACTCGAGGCAAACAAGACTGGCTAGTTTCCCGAGGGACTATACATTAAGTGCTCTGTTATATATTTAGACTTTCCCTTAAACAATCATATTACGGTGGCCCACAACTGTCACCGCAAAAGAAATAACCTCGCGGCAAAAGGAAGAACCTCACGGCAAAAAGAAAGACTCACGGCAAAAGAAGCAGTGCTTTTTACAGTGTTTTCGTTGTTAGAGCTGTTTTTCAGCCGCTGTATTGTTGTTGCGGTGGCGAAGGAAAATCTACTTGATACGCTGGCCATTGTTTCGCTCGCAAATTTTCAGCATATCCAAATGTTGTGACATCCAAGGCTCACACTTGATTAGCTATCTGCGAGTTTCTTTAATTATTGACCTCAGACATCAGAATGTCTGATTTGTTACTTCTTTGCACTGAATTAACCCTCTTCGGCACTGAATCACCTGGAAACTGCATCTATCTTAACCAATAAAAAATGAGTAATTTTTTCATGTATATAATTAGGTCCGCAACACATACAAAAAGATAGCCTTTCCTCTCCTTTCTCTTTTTTCATGCTGTTTTTGTTCACATCTTGACTAAAAATTTCTATTCCTTTTCACTTTTTCAAGCTTCGACTTTATGACGCCTACCACTGTGCAACGAAAAGGTGCAATCACCACTGGAACACTGGGGAATAAAAGGTTCATCACCGAGACGGAGTTAAAGAAACACAACGGAACTAATGGCTCGCAGTCATGGATAGCGATCAAGAACAGAGTATACGACGTTTCCAGTTTTGGTGAGGAGCATCCAGGAGGCACCATCATTTTCACGCACGCTGGCAAAGATGCTACTGATGTGTTTAGCGCATTCCATCCTGCCTCAGTGCACAAATGGTTACCTCGCTTCTACATTGGTGACTTGGTAAAAGATTCACGCGTAACTCCCCTAGATGCCCAAAAGGAGGCAGAGTATAGACAGGATATCATAGCAATGAAATCGGAGCTGATGAAGGCTCGTGCATTTGAATCCTCTAAGCTGTATTACGCATTCAAGATTGCCACTAATTTAGCCATATTTGCTGCTGCAGTTGCTGCGATTTTGGTGTTCAATGGAATTGTTGGTGCAGTTATAGGCGGTGTTTTGATGGCTCTCTTCTGGCAACAGAGTGCCTTCCTTGCTCATGACTTCCTCCATCATCAGGTATTCACCAACCGTAGCTACAATAACTTAGGTGGCCTTTTATTTGGCAACATTTGGCAGGGCTTTTCAACCTCTTGGTGGAAAACAAAACATAATCACCATCACGCTTCCACAAACGTTGTGCACACCCAAGCTGGAGGAGACCCAGATATTATGACGATGCCATTCCTGTTGTGGTCAGAGAAGATCATCGAGGGCGATGCAGAAGATCTTAAAGACCTTCCAAAGTTTATGGTCAGGTATCAAAAGTTCTTCTATCTACCACTGAATGCTGCTGCTCGTATATCATGGCTGCTGCAGTCAATTCTCTTTCAACTGGAACCTGTGCATAAATATGTTGGTGGTTTACCCATGAAGATCGCCGAGATTTCTTCAATGGCTGTCCATTACGTTTCATTAGTGTTAATCACATCACTTCTAGACACGACTTCCTCAAGAATCGTTTTCCAACTGATCTGTCAGTCACTCGGTGGGATTTTTCTTGCTGTAATTTTTACCGTTGGTCATTATGCAATGGAAATTTTTACGAGCGAGGAAATGAGTGACACTGATTTCGTCCGCCTTCAAGTTCGTTCCACTCGCAATATCACGCCCACTGTCTTTAACAAGTGGTTCAGCGGTGGTCTCGCATATCAGGTGGAGCATCATATATGGCCTACTTTACCTCGTCATAGTTTACCTCTTGCGTCGAAGATTTTGAAGCGCTTTTGTTCCAAGCACAACATTCCTTACACAGTAAAAGGACTGATTGAAGGAAACTTGGCAGTCTTTAAGCTACTTTCACAAATTGGTGAGAGATTTTGATCTTTCATGCTTAGACATTGTAATAATTCCCAACAGCCTGTGTCCAATTTTGTGCTTTAAATTTTAAAGTTTCGTGTTTTCTAATAGACAGGCTTCTATATTCGATTTATATAAATATATAACTTGTTCATTGGACCTGATCCCTTTCAATTTAAAAATTTTGATACGGTATGCTGTACATTAGTGTGATTCTAGTTCTTAAAACTAGGTGGTAAATCAAGCTGTCTCTAAGCTTAATTAAAATTTTTTATCTTCTTTCAAACTTTTGCATGATATGAATTGATATTGGGGAAAATTTATCATTTGCCCTCGGAGCTTTGCTTCTCGGCCAAATATTAATTTTTCGGAAAATCTCTTAGCCGCGGACATTATCAGCCGACATAGAAACTGCCTGAAGAGGTCTATTTACAATATGATTTCTAAAAAAAAATAAATGTAATAAAAAGTGAAACATTCAATTTTCCGTCTTATTCTTGCTTTCTCACGAATCACCATTTTTTTCTTGCAATATTGCTTGAATGGAATTACAGTCGAACCTGTATCTTCCCTTTCACATCCAAGATCTCATTAGTAATTCTTCTTACTGACTGCTGCCTGAATTCCTATGATTTCAGTTCTGTGAATTTGTTACTGGATCGACTGATAATCCCTTAATTGATATTTCTCTTTATTCTTATCACTTATCTGCTTGAAATTGTATGGATATTGTAGGGAGAAATTCTGTCTTGAACACTCACAGGGGTTGAAGGCTTAAGCGGCACCGTACGAAGCGGTCGTCCTGTATAAAGCGCTTGGTTGTAAAAGCACCGAAATTTGTTTCACCTTTAGCAAGCGGTCACCTCTACCAGGCGACCGTAATCACATTTGCCGTGAGTCCCAACGTCCTGTTTGTATTGTCTTCCACCTGTAGCGATTGGAACTACTCAAATAAGTTAGGAATAATATTTTAAGTAAAGTTTACTCCTTCAGTTCTCTTGCGAAATCAGTGTTAGTTGTATTTGTTGAGTGAGATTTTAAACATTAAGTGGTCAATTATGGCGATAAACGGCTGATTGACTGATCCCCTTTCCGTTTCTACTGAAAACCATGTGCACCCCCTTTCAAATAGTCTTCAACCCCCCCCCTCCCCTAGACGATATAATGGACGATATAATGACTGGTCTCTAATGAATGTAAATGACAGTGTTGCGGTTTATTAATTTGTGTCGGAAGTTACCTGACCGCACGCAAGCTTTTGTTTCTGACTTGATAAATAGGCCGGACGTTTCTATCAATCAGTTTGGTAGGACCTCTACTGAGCTCTGTGTACTTTTAGGTTCATTAATCCTAACAAAAGGATACGACAAAGATAAATGCTCAAATGCTATCAGTCGTTTCAAGTATTCCGTAAAAACTCGTATCATCAAGCTTTTGTTTCTGACTTGATTAATAGGCCGGACGTTTCTATCAATCAGTTTGGTAGGAACTCTAATGAGCTCTGTGTACTTTTAGGTTCATTAATCCTAACAAAAGGATACGACAAAGATAAATGCTATCAGTCGTTTCGTACCTACGTACGTTTCTAACTCAGTCAATTCGTAACCGGCCTGAACCAATCGTAACAAGTATTCCGTAAAAACTCGTGGCTTTTGATCATCAAGCTTTTGTTTCTGACTTGATGAATAGGCCGGACGTTTCTATCAATCAGTTTGGTAGGACCTCTACTGAGCTTTGTGTACTTTTAGGTTCATTAATCCTAACAAAAGGATACGACAAAGATAAACGCTATCAGTCGTTTCGTACCTACGTACGTTTCCAACTCAGTCAATTTGTACCCGGCCTGGACCAATCGTAACAAGTATTCCGTAAAAACTCGTGGCTTTTGATCATCAGCGTACGCTGGGACGGGAACGAATATACCAGTAGGTCGGGTACGAACGCACAAACACTAGATATGAATCATTCTAATTTGGGTACGAAATGTCCGTTGGCACAAATGGATACTTAGCAAAAGATCAGAAAAAAATTATAATAAAACAGAAAACGTAGTCGGTACCTCATTTCAAAGTTATCAGTTTGATCTTTTATTTGACATTATTGCGATATTCCTATAACCGATAGCATTATAACCATTTACAACCCTTACTTTTCGTCTCAAGAACTCTTGCGTTTACTTCATTTCCATATTGAAATGTCTTCTTGAACTATTTCATTTTAAATTAGTCATACATGGTTGTCTTACTTTATTATCATTGGCAGTTTTATGACCTTAATTATTCTCGGTGGTAGTCATGATAAATTGTCATCCAATGTCAAGAATCCTTCGAATACCATATCAATTCAGTGTTAAATTTACAGTTTCAACCACTTCTCGCTCCTCAAAATGTCTTTTCGCTTTCAGTGGTGACAGTATTTACACATGAACATATATTAACACTGCTAACTCCTGCTAATTATTTGATGTTACTTTACAATGAAAATGATTGAAACAGACAATTTATTAACGTGACTTAGCCGCTCTGGTTATGTATGGACTTATATACTTAATCCGCTTAAATTAAGTAACCTCGCGTTCTCTCAAAAGGCCGGCCGAGGAACATGCGCACGCACTTTTCTTTTACTTGTTTGTGTTCCTCTCTTTTGTTCGGATTTATATCGAAAAGTGTGATATTTTTGCAATGCGTGAGGATGATATTTCCATTTAAGACCAAAATATAAACGTACCCAAGTATAACTTAAATCAGCATCATTGATTTTCGATTTTGTGCCTGAAAACGGCGAATTTCAGTGACTTGCAATGTTGAAGCGTAAACACAAAAAGCCAAATTCTTGGTCGCTTTCTCTTACGCTACTCGATAGAAAAATCCCCCCCTTATTCGAAAATGAAGATGTTAAGAAAGTTTTGTGGGTTTCCATGCAGCCATCCTATCCTTACGAGCTATCGAAAAATTGGAAAAAAAATCCTCGAACTCGCGTTCGAATTTTAAATTAAAAAAGAAACCAGTATTACGCTGGTATTAATTGGTGTTAAGAAGAAAGGTAACGGTTGAGGATATTGCAATTGAAAATACGAGTTAATCGTTTCCAATCCTAAGATGTATTTATTTACTTTTGTTAAATGCGTTCCCTCCCTGCGTTGTTTCAACCATAAAGAGCTATATTTAGAGTCTCCTTTCATTTGAACCGAGACAATCGTGCACATTGTAAAGTAAAATCGATTTTAAATATTGTGACATAACAGCTTCCATATCAACGCTAATTTAACCCTTCTCTCTCTAATATCAGTAAAGGTATTATCCATACTGTTTCCCATACATTCCCTAAGGTGCTGACAAGGAGAATTTGTATAACAATCAACAGCTTCTTTAGCTGCTGATAATTTTTCTTTATTCTTATGACCCCGCTGCATGATTCAGGGGTGATATTGTAATGAAGGAGAAATTAGATGCTAGTCTCTCTTAGGGGTTTAAGTGTTAAGAAAAATTTAATCGTTTATTAACGCAATTGCGTCCGAGGCCATCTTCAATTTAGCTGAACCTTTTATCTGAAAAATTACTTTTTGTCAACAGTGTCAAGAGGACTGAAAGCCAGCAGTGGATGGACATTATTTAATCAAATCTACCCTCTTATAAAGAATCCCTGAGACCACTGCTTTCGTAACACCTCGGTTTGGATTAAATCGTCAGTTCGTCGATGATTTAAAGGAGACATCAACGACTTCCCATACGACGGCGCTATATACGTTTCTTCCGGTCGCTCAATTAAACTTACCATTCTTTTGAAATCAATGAACCAACAAACTCACGTAGTTTGGACTCATACCAAGATTCAAAGCACCTTTTTTGCGTGGGAAAGCAAACAGGAAGAGTCGGACACAATAGGGAAGTTGAAAAAATAAGACTGTCGTGAGAGGCTTTGAGTGTTATCAAACCTTGAACATTAGAACTATGGTATACTTATTACAAATGGATTCCAAGTTGACGTGCGCCTGTTCAGTAATAGACACAGATGATATCAAAATGTGGTAAGATCGAAAAAGTGGCACTGGAAGTGCAAACGAGTGTCACTGATGTCCTTACCACAGTTTGATTCCTTCTATGATCTATTGCTTGAAGGAAGCATGTAAATATGAAATGCAAACAGTTGGTAATCATGTGACGTCAGCCATGCTTCGATTCTGTTCTCCAATAGACCATAAGTGCGCACTGCAATCAAAAATGAGCGCGTAATTCAGCTTTTCATAAAAAGAGCCCATTGTAAGCACTGACGCTCTTCTTGAACTTCCGTAGTAAATTAATTGAAATCCTAGATTTTAATCCTTCAATGAATTATGAATTAATAGCCTTGCATTGCCTAACAGTCTTCTTCGTTAAGAGTGGAGGAAACTTATGCTTCCTCGGATTTTTCAAAACGTGACTAAAACGTGATTAAAAATAAAGTTTGCAGTTTCTTTTGGCAGTATTGGTGGCTTTTATTTCAATACAAATTTTTGCGGGAACGTCTCTCATTGTTTGGAAGAGAGGTTTAAAGGACTCGTTGGCGAAAATTAATGACTCAAAACGCATTGCTGCGTAGGAGAGTAAACGTCACGGAATCAATTGTAACCACTGACGCACTTCTTGACCTTCCGTAGTAATGTTATCGAACCATTTGCTTTAACACATTAATGAATTATGAGCATGAATACCATATTAGCCTTTCGTTACCTAGCAATCTTCTTTGACTTCTTTCTTTCGGCTGAAAGGAGCCTTGGGTTTTAAAGTTTTCTCGGTTTTTGCAAAACGAGATCCCGCAATCTATTTTTTCTTTTCGTGTTGGTGGCTGAGCTCCAATTCATATCTTTAATTTTTTATTTCGTGGGAGCAAGAGGAAGTCGTCCTTCATTCCTTGGAAAAGATTGTTGAAAGGCTTGTGGGCAAGAATTTCGTGTACAATATCAAATGAGTGTGAGCACTTGACTAAACTAACGATTTAAAAGTGATAAAGATACCCTCCCGCAATGCTTTTCTCTAACGTGCAAAGAAAGATTTGAACGCGTCAGTTAACACGGTTACAGTTCAACCATTTCTTCCGATAACCCTTCGTAAAATCATTATCTTTCTATTCAGGATAGTTGTTTCAGGCCAAATTGGCCTTATTCCACTTACGAGACAAATCAGTAACTTTTTGCGTACTCATTAATTCAAAAGCTTGTTACAATCCCACGAAAGTACTTAAGGGATTTCCGCTACCTGCTCTATATATGTTTTCTAATGTAAATTATTTTTGTCGAGTTTAATAATTCAGTTGCCACCAGTTGTCAAGAGTAATTGCAAATCAAACTTAAAAAAAAAACATCCCTCTTAGTAAATATGTTGCCAATTTATTTGACTTTCTTTGCAGCTGTAAGCAGAACAAACACCAAGAGAACACTTTCATTTATTGAAGGACTTGTTATTATAACGAACTTTCATCCATGAAA